AAAAAAAAAAAAAAAAAAAGGCAGGAAAGAGAGGGACGAGGAGAGATGCATGGGAAACACACTTATGTGTAGGTTTTGTGTAGACATTGAATAACGCAACTGTGTGCGTGAGGTCCCAGTAGCAAAAAAAATTGGACAGGATGGTTTTAAGTAAAAATTAAGAAAGTCAAATCCATCACGATGATTTATGCCTTTGTCACAGTTATATAAAGATTTATGTGTTAAGCCACCAGTACCTACCCCATTCTCAAGCCCCCTCTGACATGGACGAATATAACCCCACGCGGTAGGCCAATTCAGTCACTGTGTTAATGGTTTGAGAACGTGTAGGTATTGGTAGTAAAAATCATAATGAAGTTCAATTCATGCGTTAAATCCAATCATCTTTGTGAGTGAGATCTCAACCGTGGGGTTGGTCAATCAGATGGTTGCGCTTTGTACATCATCTAAAAAAAACAATTCACCATCATGAAAAACCATTGACCCCCAAAACAATACCCCTTCTACTCAAATATAAAAGCCTAAATACAATCCGACTATACAACTAAACCTTGGGGACTGACTGCTACTGGCTTAACCCGAAAAATTCAACTTACCTGAAAAAATAGGTTTTATGAAATCGTTGAATTTGTTTCTGAAAAGAATGCGTGTTTTAATGTAACCTACGTACGTTGTATTCAAAATTTCGTTAATTTTAAAATTTTCCAAAAAACAGAAAAAAAAACAACAACAACATTTTAATACAAACAACTTTTGTCAGAGGATCATGTCGAAATACACAACCAAATTAGAAAAAATCTAGGTTACCAGAGTGGCCCGGGGTCACTTGCCCGGCCGGGCCAAAAAAAAAAAAAAACATTACAATAATAATAAAAATATTTTTAAATTATTTTTTATTTTAAATTTGGTGAAGAATTCCGATATGACCCTGAGGCAAAAATTGTTCTGTTTATTTTTCTGCATCACATAGTTTGTTTTCCGATTTTTTGGAATTTTTTTATTTTTTATTTTTTTTGCTGGGACCTTCCTTGGTCCTTGCACGGGCTGGCCACCCGGGTGCCAGATCCGAACCTCAAAGAAGTTTCCACATTTGCACTGCATTCAATTGTCGCGTAATGAGGAATGGATCTGGTCAAAGGAACGTTTATGCATCCAGACCGGACAGTCTTTCCATTCCTGGGGTTGCAAGAGGCAGAAGAGTGTTGTGATCAGCAGTTATCTGCACCGAATTGACCGTAATACAACTTTACGATCTGAGATACCCCGGCGGGTCTTGACTCTGCAGACCGAATTGCGAAGGAAGGATTTTTCCGATTGGTTCTCCATGGGTGTGCTAAAGCGTTTCACTGTCGGGCGTGGTGATATTTGGCAGTTCAGCGTGAAGTTTCTCGAAGTTTGAGATGTTTGCCTGTTTCTTTGTAACATGAATTCCTAGCTTTAGGCTTTGTCTATTTCGGATGTTTGTTTTTTCTTTCGTATACGGTCATAGTTTTTCAGCTGTTGGTGGGCCTTTTCTCGGCGTTATTCGTATACGGTCCTAGTTTTTCACCGGTTTTAAGACATCTTTAGTCTTTTTCGATTTTTTTTTTTTTTTTTTTTTTTTTTTTTTGAATTTTTTTTATGAATAAAAAATTTTTATTTTTTTTTTTTTTTTTTTTTTTTTTTTTTTTTTTTTTTTTTTTTTTTTTAATTTATTTACAGTCCGAGTTCTTCAGTTGCTTGTGGGTCGTTTCTCGGCGATATTCGGACAGGGCCTGTAGCCAGGAGCTGGGTCGTTTTACTTGATTTTCGGGTAGAGGCTGTTTTTGCCTGTTTGTTTTTGCTTGTTTTTGCTTGTTTTTGCTTGTTTTTGCTTGATTTTCTGTAGGATCCCTGACCTATCTCGAACCCGGTTTTCCACCGGGGACCTTCGAGAGCACCTTGGTCGGTTTGCTTTTTCGAATGTTTTGGTACCTTGATCATAGTAGTGCTATGTGTTGAGAGTAGAAGCCTTGCGTTAGTATAATTAGAAGTTTCGAAATGATTGTATACCCTTCAGGACTGACGGACCAGAGCCTTTGCTAGTTTCCGGAGGCTTGCTTTGGTGAAGGACGGAAGTGGGTGCGGGTTAGCACGAATAGTGTGGGCATGTTCGGCGGTAACCCCCTGAGGAGACAGCCTGACAGCTGTCGAAACGCGGCGTCGGGGACGCCGATCCGGAGATGTAATTCTTTCTATCTTGGTGTTCAATTGCTTCATGTTAAACATCTTATGTTTGACTCTTGTTGAGCATCTGGGTTTGACTCGTGATTACTATTCCATCGTACTGCGCACGTTAACTCACATGGAGTCAAGTTTGCCGGGCAGAGTGATCGTGTTACACCGTTATCTTGCATATGATATTCTCGTTTGAGATGAAGACTGAAGACGATTGAGAAGACGAAGACCGAAGACGAAGATCGTGTATCGCTACGACGTTTGTGTACCTGTTTATGTCTCCTATCTCGTGAGCGGTTGGACGCTCTCCTTTGGACCGGTGTTTTACTTTGGGGGTACATGTTCAGCATGTCGGGTACTGATCACAGCGAAGGTACCGGAGGAGGTGACGAACACAGGCGCTTCAAACCGCCGACATGTTTTCGTTGCCATGAACCGGGGCACTATGCTAACCAGTGGCCGAATCGAGGTTCTCGACACTACTCCGACAGACCATCTACATCCACCGACTCACGTCGATCGAGGTCACCACGGCGCTACCACTCGCACGGAAGGCAGGGTTCCCCTGTAAGGGATGATGATGTGCGATCGACAGTTTCTAAGTTGAATAAATCCGTAGCATCCATGAAGGAGTTTTACGATGAAGTGCGCCTGAAGAAGGAGGAAAAGGCGCGACGAAAGCTAGAGAAGAAAGAGGCAGAAGAACGGGAACTCGCTGAACGTGAAAAGCTCGAAGCAAGGAGGATGAAAGCCGAGATGAAGGCTAAAAAGAAGGTTGAAGATGCTAAGCGTGCAGACGATATGGAGAAGGAGCGCGGAGCGGAGATGAAAAAAGATCTTGATATGCACATGGCGGTTCGGATGAGCGAGATGGAGGAAAGTTTTTTCGAAAGGTTCGAGCATACTTTGGCACCTCTTTGCCAAGTCCTAAGACATAAAGGGAAACAGAAGGTGTCCTATAAGTCAGCGAGTGAATCCGCGTCTGCCTCAAGCGATGGCGAGAGTGACACCAGTGTCACTAAGGAGTTGAATGACCACACACGGCGTCTATGCATTTCCGATAAGCGTAAGCGGGGCCTTGAGCCAGTCTTTGAAGACAGCCCACCTATGGAACAACCGCCTAAGCGTACTCCTAAGTGCGGCGCTTTGAAGCCTGTTAAGCTGATCGCTCGCATCACACGCTCCAAGGCGAAGTTTCGAACTCCAGCTAAGTCCGGTGGTAAAAGGACTCCTTGAAGGAAGTCACCGGTGAAGACTCCTCTTTCGAAACATAAGTCGCTGAAATCAGCCATGAAGACTCCGTTGCATGCATTATGGGTGGAGTCTGAAGTCGCTGTTGAGACTGTATAATGTTATCAAAGATTTCTCCCGTAAGTCGAGTTGTAAGTACCTGCGACGGTTGATCTCCCGTGGTTTTCGGGAACGTTTTGATCTGAGTATTAGTGTTGATCCTATTTTCCGGATTAGGTTTGATGAGCGTATTAAAGTGTCCGAGCTTCGGAAGTTGGTTAATGACTCCCTGATGTTATGTGGCTTACCCTTTTGTTTTTTGCAAAGGAGCCGGAAGAAGATCCGTATAGTCTGGGTCAAGAACCCTTCTATGACGGAATTAGTACACAATCAGCGAGAGTTTTCCACTCGCAGTGTGCTCACTTGTAATTGTGCAGGTCTACCCTATCCTCGTGTGGAAGGGCACGTCCAGTGTCGTTTGAGTGAGTTTGAAGGGCTTGACCCTTTGCTGCATAACTCCATGAATGTGCCGAGAATCCTACGGGATGATCGGGCTACTACCTTACAGAAGAAAATTGCTAGTGGGTTTGATGGATGGGTGAATTGTCGTTCGAAGCCGCCGCCTGTCCCGCTCAATGTATTGCTGAACTGTTTCTCTAATCCCAGATCTGACACACGTGAGTGTCTGCGCCTGGATCAGGTGCTCGAGTTAAAGCAGATGTTCCAGGGTCTCGTCCTTACACCTTTGGACAGGAACCCGGGTGAGACATTGGTCATGTGCCCAACGGTGTACTTCTCTTGTATGATGTCAACTTTTGTACTCAATTCTGGTTATCGCATAGTGCAAGTGTCAGAAGGTCAAATTTTGAGAGAGATTAAGGAGGAGGTTGTATTTAGGGATCTCTCCCGTTTCGTGAGATGGGATAATTATGGAAGTTTTGGGTCAGCTTATATCTTGCCCAAACACAAAGACCTGGATAGGTTCCGACCTATCTGCCCTACGTACAGTGAACCCGTGGTACGTACCTGTCGTCTTGTGTCACGTGCACTCAATCATTTGCTATCATCCATTCCTCAAAGGTGGCATTTCAACTTGCCTTCAGTCTCTAATCTGGCTCAGCGTTTGACAAACACGAATGACAAGATTTTGAGACTGGGCACTGATTACCAAGTCCACTCTTTTTCGTTCGACATCAAAGAGATCCTCATCAGGAGATTTTACGTGTCGTGGAGTGGATCGTTGACCATCATCGGACAAAGGGTATAACTTTTGTTCGAGTCAATACCAGAGGCCGTGGGGCATCTTTTGAGCTGACCACCGGTGGGGACCATTGGAGGCGTCTTGAGCTTGTGAGTATCCTTACCTTTGTTAGATTGAAGTTGAGTCATACATACACGTTCACGACCGGTGTTCTGTTGCAACAAGTTGTTGGTATACCTATGGGTAAACCAACAAGTCCTCCTTTAGCCTGTATTCTGTGCGCGTTCGCGTAGTACAATTTCCTATGCAGCCTGGGCAGTTATTCGCGTCTGACTTTCGACTGTCGCCTAATTGACGACGTGATGCTGGTTACTACAACAAAAAAACCTGAACACAACGAACATGTACTGACTTGTTTTAAGGAATGCTACCAAAGTGCCTTGACATTGAAAAAAACAGATGATGGATCCGGTATTTTTTATTTCCTTGGGTGCCAGATCCGAACGTCAAAGAAGTTTCCACATCTGCACTGCATTCAATTGTCTCGTAATGAGGAATGGATCTGGTCAAAGGAACGTTTATGCATCCAGACCGGTTAGTCTTTCCATTCCTAGGGTTGCAAGAGGCAGAAGAGTGCTGTGATCAGCAGTTATCTGCACCGAAATGACCGTAATACGACTTTACGATCTGAGATACCCCGGCGGGTCCTGACTCTGCAGACCGAATTGCGAAGGAAGGATTTTCCCGATCGGTTCTTCATGGGTGTGCTGAAGCGTTTCGCGGTCGGGCGTGGTGATATTTGGCAGTTCAGCGTGAAGTTTCTCGAAGCTTGAGATGTTTGCCTGTTTCTTTGTAATATGAATTCATAGCTTTAGGCTTTGTCTTTTTCGGATGTTTGTTTTTTCATTCGTATACGGTCGTAGTTTTTCAGCTGTTGGTGGGCCTTTTCTCAACGTTAGTCGTATACGGTCCTAGTTTTTCAACGGTTTTGAGGCATCTTTTGTCTTTTTCGGATTTTTTTTTTTTTTTTTTTTTTTTTTTTTTTTCTGTTTTTTTTTTTTTTTTTTTTTTTTTGGTTTTTTTTTTTTTTTTTTTTTTTTTCTTTGTTACAGTCCGAGTTCTTCAGTTGCTTGAGGGCCGTTTCTCGGCGATATTCGGACAGGGCCTGCAGGCAGGAGCTGGGTCGTTTTACTTGATTTTCGGGCAGAGGCTGTTTTTGCCTGTTTGTTTTTGCCTGTTTGTTTTTGCTTGATTTTCCGTAGTATCCCCGACCTATCTCGAACCCGGTTTTCCACTGGGAACCTTCGAGAGCACCTTGGTCGGTTTGCTTTTTCGAATGTTTTGGTACCTTGATCGTAGTAGTGCTATGTGTTGAGAGTAGAAGCCTTGCGTGAGTATAATTAGAAGTTTCGAAGTGATTGTATACCCTTCAAGACTGACGGACCAGAGCCTTTGCTAGTTTCCGGAGACTTGCTTTGGTGAAGGACGGAAGTGGGTGTGGGTTAGCACGACTAGTGTGGGCGTGTTCGGCGGTAACCCCCTGAGGAGACAGCCTGGCAGCTGTCGAAACGCGGCGTCGGGGACGCCGATCTGGAGATGTAATTCTTTCTATCTTGGTGTTCAATTGCTTCATGTTAAACAGCTTATGTTTGACTCTTGTTGAGCATTTGGGTTTGACTCGTGACTACTATTCCATCTATTCCACGGGCTGGCCACCCGGGACCCGGGCGGCCCGGCTGATAGCCTAGGAAAAAATAAAATAAAGAGAAAAATAAAAATATATTTTAAGAGAATTTTGCAATGTTTTATAACTTCATAATAATTTTGATTTAAAAAAAAAAATCCCTAAAAATATGAAAAAACTATGCTGAAGGAAATTGCAATACAAACAACTTTTGCCTGAGGGTCTTGGAGAAATTCCAAACCAAATTGGAGAAAAAAAACAAACAAACGATTCAAGGTACCCGGTACTTTGTATACGAATACAACGTACATACGTTTTTTTCGGGTCAAGACAATTGTCGCCAAATTCCGAACTCTTCGACCGCTCTGAGAGCGGGACGCCAACCAGCGGCGAACTGCACCCTACCCGCTATCCGTGCCATCTTTGGGAAAAGACCCCACCAGTGCCAAATCTACCTGCTTGACCACAAATTGAAAGCCCCGCTTCCCCACGAAACGCAACCAGGTAAAGCGCAGCCCGCCAGCCTCCACTAAGGTCTGGGCGCTCCAGGTTTATCAGCAAAGGTTTAGAGCACAGTAGGCTGTTTTACCACCAGGCTCGTACATGACACAGCATATCCGGTAGAAGGAGGTCCTAACTGGGACGCTACCAGCGCTCATGCCGCTATAAACCACCGACACGAACCTGTTGGGAACTTGCTGGCCCGTCACTGGCCTGGTAGGAGTCTGCTTGGTAGTGGCAATACCCACGTTCGTCCGTACGGAGAAACCGGAACAGGATTGAAAGTGGGAAAAAAAGAGGGCGCCGCGAAAATTCTGCACCGCAATTTGAAAACCCTAACGGGTGGCAGACCTTTATGCGCCCTTTGCCGAAGAGGTTCTTTCCGTGCTGATGACGTGGATCATTCGGCGAAGCTAATCGGTCATGACGATGAGGGGAACAAAGATGGTGACGCCAGTCAGTGCCAGACCTAGTAGTCTAGAGAGGAAGGGAGGACGTGGCAGTCCTCGGGCGAGGTTCGGCGGGGTGCGGGTTTCTCCTTCGGAGGGGGAGGACGCGTGTCATAAGGCGGGAACGAGGCTGCGGAGAGGAAGGGCGGGGGAGGACAGGAGGGTATGGATAGGGTTAATTACTTTGTAATGAGCGGAAGAGGGACTGGCAGGGTTAGTGCTGTTGTTGTAGGGGCCGATGGACCGTGCAGGCAAGACAGCAATCGCCTTTTGATTTCTTCTGCAGTGGGTAATGAGGCGGTGAGCGGGAAGAACCGTTCTAGCAAGAAGGGGGGTCTTTTGCAGCACTCTTGGCAGGTCACGATGGAGAACGGCCACGGCTCAAAGGCGAAGGCGAAAGTAAGGATCGTTGAGGATGATGAGGACGAGGGGGCTCGGCACCGCGGCGGGGAAAAAAAGGGAGCCGGCACGCGGAGCGTTAGGGAGGTCAAACGAGGGAGAGATGAGAATGAGAGGGACGTTGATGATGACGAGTCGCCGCTAATTACCCTCTTGAGCAAGAAGAAAGCGCTAGTAGCGGCAGGCACGCCGTCGACTGCAAGGAGCGAAGTAGAAGGGGTTTCCGCTGCTGCTCGTTCCACGTTGCCTCTTCGTATCCCCAAGGCTGCAAGTGCGTTTTGTGGTGTCGGAGCGAAGAAGATGCCGCAGTCCTCGTCTGCGCAGGTGAGGAAGAACGCGGGCAAGATGGAGGAGGACGAGGATGAGAATTCCGCGCCGAGTGTGCGCGCGCGGGGGCAGGAGCGGAGACTTGCGCTTCGTAGAGAGAGTAGGAGAGAACAAAAGATGAACGAACGTAAGAGGGATAACAGCGCGCAGTGGACACCTCCTGTCATCAGACGCAAAGCTCGAGGACATGGTATTCTCAAGAAACGAGCGTCGGGAAGACCTAACGACGGCGCGCAGCGTAAGTGCTCTCAGCATCCTTCTTCTGCTTCGAATCCGTCCTTGCTAGCATTGATGTCGGTATCCCCGCAGATTGGATCAGGTCGGATGGCGGATAGGCGGCGGAAGCCGGGGAGTGGAGCTCAAGGCGTGCGCCCTGGGCGGCCTTCCGCCGGCGCCGTGTCTGCTGCCCGTTCTCTCGGTTCTTCCGCCGCTGTGGATCGTGCATCAGCTGGAGAGGGGGTTAAGGTTGGGGGAGGAGTGGGCAGCGTGGGTAGCGGGCTGGTTGTTTGCGCGAAGGGGAATTATACGGCGGCGGGGAGGGGGAAGAGCAACGAGAACGCATCGCTCTCGACTGCAAGAGCTGATGTTCGCAAAGCCGTTGGTGGAGAATCTGGGGAGAACGCGGAGATTGCTGCTGCGGACCGTGGACGGGCGGGTGAATCAGCTGCTGGAGCTGAGCCAGCACGTGTTTCCGTACCTTGTGCCTCGCCGAAGTCTAAAGCAAACGAGTTCGCTATGGTGGCATTCTCTGATTACCTGCAGAGAACTAACGCCGTCTGTGCGCAGGCTCAGGAGTACGTCGCCAATGCTCTTGGGCATGGTTGGGAGAAGAAAGAAGCCAGGCCGATGGCTAGCCATGGCTCGATAGGCGCGGTCGGCGGAACGAGGGCGGGGAGGGAGGAGAAGGACGAGAACAGGGGGGCGGTGGGGCATATGAAGGGTGGCGGTCCCGAACGACGACAACGGGATAGGAGTGCGGCAGTCGCCGAGGAAGGAGGCGAGCTACGGGGGAGAAGAGACGGTGATCATAAAGAAGCGGAAGTGTCGAGAAGCGTGGAGAATAGGGCGAAGAGGGATGGGGACGGATATAGAGCAGCAGCAGCTGAGGAGGAGAGTGCGACTGTTCTCAAAGTGGAATGGAACGAAGCTCGGGGAAAGAGATTGAAGCAGCAAGCGAGAGAGCCACGGGCGGAGTATGTGAAGGTGGAGGAAGACGATGACGACGACGAAGAAGAAGATGAGGATGATGATGACGACGAAGAGGAGGAGGAGGAAGGAGAGGAAGTTGAGGGAGGAGGAGGTGAGGTCGACGATTGCCGTAAGGACAGGAATGCTGATCCGAGCGGATCAGGTCGGAAACGCAGGGTGGTTTCAGGTATACCATTTGGTCCAATTTGCCCGCTTCCGGTCCATGGGCACGGTCTCAAAGCCCTCGAATCGGTGACGAACTTCGACTTGACCAGACGACTGAAAGGATTCTTGAAGCGGAAGGTCAAGGCAGAGGAGAAAGCAGCAAGGGAGATGGAACTTGCCAAGGCGGCGGCGCAGCATAGGTCGGAGTCTTTGACAGCTACCAACCCCCCCCCCCCGCCATCCAGAGCCAGCCACAAAGTGACTAGGGACAGCAGTTCACCTCCCGCGCGCGTGGACAGCCCTCTTTCTGTATCAGGCTGTACGGTTGGCGGTCGCTTGTCCGAGGCCAACAGCGCCCAGCCGATGGAAACAGATGGAGAAGCAATGCCATCTCCGTACGAGCAGCTTAGGGAGAACGTTTTCGTCCACAGGATACAGCGAAGGCTTCTTCCTGACGAGATCCCGTTATGCGACTGCAAATACAATCCGGACGATCCCGACAGTGCTTGCGGGGAGGATCGCTGCATCAACGCCATGCTGAACACTGAGTGCATACCCCAGTATTGTAAGTGCGCCGATAAGTGCAGAAACCAGAGATTCCAGCGCTGTGAATACGCTAAGACGCGCCTGGTGAAGACAGCTCACACGGGATGGGGGCTCGTCGCGGACGAAGACATCAAGGCAGGGTCGTTTGTGATCGAGTATTGTGGAGAAGTTGTGTCCGAAAAGCAAACTAAACGACGGGTTGAAGCGTACTATGCAGCGGGGGAAAGGAACGCGTACATGTTGAGGTTGACAAGTCAGGAGGTGATTGATGCGTCTAAGAAGGGGAGCTTGGCGCGCTTCATCAATCATTCGTGCAATCCAAACTGCGAGACGCGGAAGTGGAGCGTGCTAGGGGAGTTAAGGGTGGGAATATTTGCGCTGAAGGACATAGGCAAGGGCACAGAATTGACGTACGATTACAAGCTGGAGTGGTATGGGAGGGACAAGGTGCTGTGTCACTGTGGCGCGCCCAACTGCGCCAGATACCTCGGCGCGAAGTCGAAAGCGTTTCTGCTTCGTCAAGCGGAAGCGGCCGGGGTCGCGACTGAGGAGAACTCCGACAGCATCGATGAAGATATGCCCCTGCGGGGAAGCCGACAGTCTCCCAAGGGCAGAACAGCAAATCAGCCCAAGCAGAAGGGGGTATCTGTGGCAAAGGCGGCGGCGACTGCAACAAAGATGAACGACTCGTGGAGCTGCACTCCAACGACATTAGGCCCTTCTGAATGTGCGGCGGCGGCGGCGGCGGCGGCGGCTTCTTTGCCTATGAAGCATGTATTAGAGAGGGAGACTGATGCTTCTGCGGTAGTTCTGATTCCTGGGGACAATCTCGTTCTATCGGAACACGACGATCATGATCATCATCATCAGCAGCAGCAAGGGTTTAAGCCTCAAGTGGTTGACGAGGCGATGGATGAACATGGGTGGGAGCTCGTAGGCAGCAAACGAGAGATGATGGGTGCGCCGCCGGACGAGGGAGGGACGCAAACGACGGCGGGCAAAAGACGGGAAGGTGGTTGTGCCTCTGAGGATGGCGGCAGCGAGAGGAAGAGGAAGAAGAAGATGGTAATGAAGGAAGGATCTTGGGTTGGGAGGATAAGGCTGATGGATTCGGACTTGCTGGCTAGATTGCTGCGGACGGAGTCTGCCATAGCGGAAATTGTTACCACGCGCGAAGCGGCAGTTTCGATGGCGAAGGAGCTGGACAACTTGGCCGAAGAGATGAAACCGATTGCAGCTGAAGTGAACGAAGGGAAGAGGAAAGAGATACCGAGCTGGATGGCCGAGCGATGGTTGTCGGCTAGTGCGAAACAAATGCAGACAATGTTCGCTCACCATTACACTCTTGTTTGGCATGCCCTCGGCCTGACGACGGAAAGCGATGGGGGAGGAGGAGGAGGCGGTGGAGAGGCGGTCGTAGCGTCCAGGTCAAAACCAGTAGTGGGTTGGTAGTCGGGATAGGGTCCAGGTTTGGATGAGGAGAAACCTGGCGCACAGAGTTGTGGAATGGTGGGTGTGTAGTCGGGATAGGGTCCAGGTTTGGATGAGGAGAAACCTGGTGGCTCACAGAGCAATTGTAGATCTACAGGGCAGTTCGTCGGTTTCGCGAATAAGATTAAGGAAGGGACGCTTTTAGTGGTGATTAACAATCTATTTGTGGAATCGTGTAGGAGAGTGTTTTCAGTGACAGGGTGGTAGAGTAGTAAACGGGTTGGAAGATTTTGAATCAAGAGACAGATTGTTGTTTTGTTTAAAGGAAGGGAGAAAAAAGCGATGATGAAGAGGACAATGGGGAAGCACGACGACGACAAAAGAAAAGACGAGCAGGAAGTGTGTAGGAGGAGGAGGAGGAGGAGGAGGGGGAGGAGGAGGAGGAGGAGGAGGTGCAGGATGGAGAACAGGAGGAAAAGACAGCTGCTTCCAAGCGTGATGCTTTCGACGGAGATGAAGGTATGTGTGTTATCTTTCTCTCTTTACTCGTAATTTTAGAAGAAATGTTTGTCAACAATTAAAGTCAATATTTATTTTTTGTCAACCACCATTATTTTATTATGAAATAAAGTAATGTCCTGGAAGTCAAGGAGGTGTGGCGTAGGGAATAAGGAGAACGCAGAACGCTTGCGCCCGTGGCCGGGATCTGAATCCTGATGGCGCCCGTGGCCGGGATCTCCATAGTCAGGGAAGGGGTTGTGGGTCATGAATCTTGATCACCATGGGTATTCTAGTCATTTGCAAAGAGGGGGGGGGGGGGAGGCGGGGGGAGGACGAGGAGATCAAGGAAAGAGATGGCAAGGAAACAAAGCAATGTCCAACGATGCAAGGTGATTTTGGCGGGAGGAGGAGGACAACGAATTCTAAACATAGAAAAGGTAACGGTGATGAAGAAGAGACGTCGAGGGGGGATGATGAGGGAGAACAAGAGCGCGAGGAAAAGAGAAGTTTACAACGAAGGATAGAAGAGGAAGGGAAGAAGTTGGTGGAGGACGAGGCGCAGGAAAGGGGCGGGAGGGTAGGGAAAGGTAGGCAAGGAAAACGTGATCGAGAAGACATGGCGTGTGACTGTGATGAATATCAGTGATCAAGGTGATCAAAGTGACAACGCGTGATTGTGATAGCGATCGTGATCCCGATGGCAGTGGCGGTGGTGGTCCCGATTTATCCAGGTCAGCCGTTCACCGAATAGCGTGCAAAAGGGGGTTGAGGGGTTGTTGGGAGGGAGAGGTGAATGAGAAACAACATGTCAAGAAAGAATCAATTAGTGGCATGGTTATCTCTTCTTCCACAATCTAGACGAATGAATACAAAATTTCTTTGCGTCGCTGCAGTATCTAGGTAATGCATTTACGATGATGACGATGAAACGACTGCACAACGACGACGATGGCCAAAAAGAAGAAGGAGAAGAAGAAGAAGAAGAAGAAGAAGAAGAAGAAGAGGAAGACGAAGAAGAAGAAGAAGAAGAAGAAGAAGAAGAAGAAGAAGAAGAAGAAGAAGAAGAAGAAGAAAATGGAGAATAGCGAGTCCAGTCGCTAGTCATCCAAGCATTAAAACCGCAGTCTTTATTGAACAAGCTCGGAGATAGAAGACCTCAGAAACGCGCAGAAGAAGAAGACGAAGATGAAGAGGAAGGAGTGGAAAAACAGAAGAGACATGACTTGGCGGGTCGAGCACTTCAGTATGTTCGTTATGATCGGATGAGGACAGGGATGGTTGGGAGGCAAAGAAGACGATGACGAGGGGGAAAAGGGGAAAAGGGAAAAGGGGAAAGGGATGTCATTGTTACTGATCGCCCCTGACTTTATGCTTGCTAATGTTCATGGTCTTAACGTAGTTATAATCTTGCAGGCCACCAGGTTTATGATCTGGACAGGGACAAAGGATGGACATTTCGATTAAGGGCAATTGTGAAATTTAAGGGATCTAATGAATAATAATAAATGGCAATCGTGTACTCAAGGCTAGTCGGAGTGCGACGACAGGGGCGGGGAAAACCATGATATCGTGATTGGAAATACATGCTCAGGATAGAGATCTTTATCATGATGGCTATGAAAGAAGCGCGTTCGACATGAGGATTATGACGACGACCTATCGTCTTCACTCGAATAGAACGCCACTGAGTCATTTTCACTGTATCTGAACTGAGAGTTGCCCGAAATACATTCGTAGTGACCGGGCGTTGTATTCGGATGAAGACGATAGCTGCCATAACCCTCACTCCGCTGTCGTGATCATCATTCCTATCTTGATCACGATCTCGGGCATGACCCCGATTTCGATCTTCATTATGATGTCATGTTTGTCATCCTCGTGGTTATGAGAACGAAAAGAAGCAGGTGAAGAAGGGTGAAGAACTCAAAGAAGAAGAAGAAGAATTTGAAGATGATGAGGTCGAAGCAGAAGCAGAAGAAGTAGAAGTAGAAGAAGAAGAATAGTAAAACTAAGAAGCAGCTAGATAAAAAAAAATCGGAAAATACTAAAAAATGAACCTCGTGGGTATGAGAAGAAACGAAAAGAAGCAGGTGAAGCAGGCAAAGAAGAAGAAGGTGAAGAAGGGCGAAGAATTTGAAGAATTTGAAGAAGAAGAAGAAGAAGAAGAAGAAGAAGAAAATAAGCAGTAGCTAGATATGATAATTCGGGAAAATTAAAAAATGAATTAGTTGCAGCTTAGCTGGACTCACAGCGGGTGGGATGCTGTCTCAGTCTACGTCTGGCAGCTTTCGTTTGCGCGAACAGGAGTCGAAAGGTCATTTTGGGGGATGACTCGTAGTGCCTTCCCGCGTAGACATGGTCTCTGATTGGAGGAAAACAACTACTCTCCCTCTCCAGATGTATTCTCTGATTGGAAAGTGGCTGAGGAATTGTTTCCCTCTATTCATACGTCTTGTGAACGGTCCGAGAAAGGAAACTAATCGTTGAGATGAAGTTGGCAAGACTTTTCTGTTGACTTCATTGTCTGCTGCTCATCACTGCTCCGACATTGTTGCCGTTACGCTTTCTATGTTCCTGGCCAATAGGGGCCTCACCGTGGGGGCTACTCAGGGCTCGATGTTGGGGTAACGTTGGCCTGGTATGGGTCCAACGCTAGATTACTATGGAAGCCTATCTTTGGTCAGAAAATCTGGTGACGACAATGAGAGGAGTCGCAATAACAAACAGAACACCGCCCCAACACTCCCATTCACAAGGCAGTCAGAAAAGTCACAAAAACAAGCGGAGCAAAGCCCAACGTTGCTTCAAGGTGGGGCCAAATACGCGTGTCGGGAGGGATGGCGGTCGGTGTATAAGTGGGATTCAAATTTACTGTGTCACTGTTAGCAGTTGTAATCAGTCTAGCTTTGCTTCATTAGGTGGTGCTGATATTACGTAGTACTTCTACCGTCACCTGTAGTAAGTAGAGTAGGAGGTGCCGTCACCGCACCATTACTACTGTTATTGCTACTGCTGCTGGTGCTGCTTGTGGTTTCCTGACCACCAATAAGATTTTGTAGTATACATTTAGACATGACTGCTAATACACTATCGTGTGTGAAAGGGCCTACGGTAGTGGGAGAAGTGCTGGTAGTAGTATAGCAGCAGTATTCGTGGTAACGTTATCAACGCTACTGGTCTACGGTATTCCGATTACTAATCCCCAACCGTCCGTGTGCTACAACAGCTACTGCTGCTGCTGCTGTTGCTGCTGCTTGTAGTACTTACAGCCATCCGTGCTACGGCTGCTATCGCTGGTACTGGTGCTGCTCTTGTTGTTGCTGCTGCGGTTGCTGCTGTCTGTCTGCTGCTGCTGTTGTTGCTGCTGCTGTTGCTGCTGCCTGTAGTACTTTGTACTTCTTAATCATCACTGATCGATGCTATGGCTGCTAGCGCTGGTACTGCTGCTGCTGTTGCTGCTGCTGCCTGTAATGCGACGACCAATGCCACTGTGCAGTCTGACATGAACGCCAACTGTTCGTGGATGTTGACGCATGTAAAGTGATTTGAAATAAGTGATGCGAAGGTTTGAATGGACTATTAAAGATATCTTGTGCTCATAACGTTTGGTGAAACTTCTGAAAAACATTAGGGACGGAGATTAGCTACTGGTCTGTTAGGGAAAAGTACTAGGGGAAAAAAATAATTCTGGATGGCGAAAGAAATCCTGGCGGGAAAAGGATGTTTGTTTTTGCCTTGTCCTGTGGTCCGAGGAAATGGAGGGGAGTCCCCTCCCCGCCTCACCTAGGGCCATCCTGCTGCATGTCTGGGTGCTGCTAGTAAGCCTCCCGGCCAGCAGGCCAGGCCTTGGAGAGAGGCCACGGTTTTGAGGGGCTGGGATCCCCCCTTGTTTGCAGTTCCTCCCAAACCGTTTAGGTTCGCTGCCCGCAGGATCGGGAGACGGATTGGTTCGTTATATCAAGTTCAGGCGTGGTGAATTAATTGCCCGGGCCAAACTCAGCTGCGTTGCTTGTCAGGTGCTGTGCCAGGGGGGATAGTGAAGTTTCACTGGCACCTATTTGGTATGCATCTGCAGATTAGTTTTGAGCACAGTGGTTGGAGAGTTTTATATCTGCCATTTTTTATCTCTGATGGAGGAGATGAAATATTTATTTGACGATGCCTGCAAAATTGATTCTTTTGCTCTCATCCTTCTTTTTTTTTTTTTTTTTTTCCCTCTCATCCTTCTTGCCCATGTATAGACAACCCTTCCTACAAAACAGATTTTGCTTAAGCAAGCCAGTCTTTCAGCTCTCTGTCAGGCAGGTTCCTCCGCTAGGTGCATCGTGGTCACCTTCAGCTTCAAGGATGAACAGGTCATGCACTGCGCAAACTTGGCATACGCGTTAGACCGTAAACTCCTCGCTTCAATGATGAACAGGTCATGCACTGTACAAACTTGGCATATGCGTTAGACCGTAAACTCCTCCCTTAGATTTCATCTTGGCAATCAACAATATATGCATTTGTATTAACTTATTCGAAGACCAGTTGGGATACATTGTGGTACTTCAGAATGCAGCTGCTGAATACCTCTGCTCCAGAATTAGCTTTCTCATGGACTGGCAGGTTAGACCACATAACTAGTTTGCAGGACGATTGGTCCAGCAATCTCCTGCTCTTCGCAGACTCAGAATGCTGTGTCTTCTCTGTACATTCCCTCTCCCAACGTTCTCGTGTTGCTCCTACTCCTGCTGGGTGCTTTTAAAACCACCGCTACCCCGGAATAGTCCAGAAGTGGCTTTCTGCG